AGGAACTCTTTGCGTTCAGGCGCTGCTGCATCGATCCAAACTCTAAAAGGGAATCGAACTTAAAACTCTGTGAACTAAGAACTTCTGATCACATTTATCCACATCTGCCATGGTAGATCATTACTGATAACTGTTGTAAATATTCCTTAACATTAATGTGATCAGGCAGGATGTAATATGTAAATATATTATAGGTTAAAGGTTGTCTGAAACAAGCAGCCCTTTGTCTTCCTCTGTACCCGTGAAGCTCTAAAGGTTTGTGACCTGCAGAGTAAAGAAACTCAGGAAACGATTTATTTGGTGTCAGAGAAGATATGCTACTAATTAAAGTACTGTAATAATAATTCTCTTTAATTTCCTTTCTAATATTCAGGTTTTTTTTTTTTACTCTCCACTGAAGACATTTACAAAAATGTAAAACCACTTTTTCATCTTTATGGATTATAAATGTCAGATCCGGGTCTGCGTGGACCCGAGCGTCGCTTAATAAATGGAAAGTGAAATTTACAGCCGCGGTTAAACACACATTTTCCTTCACTCTGAAACTCCATTAAGGTTTCCTAAATGGAAAATGTGAGACGTTACCGGAGAGCTTCGGCTCACCGCGTTTCACTGCGACCTCAGGACGACCCCAGAGTTCATCTCTCAGCATTTCGTTTCATTACTGGGAGCTCTTACTGGGTTTTTAAAATGTCACTGGAAACGTTTAATGCTGGAAAAATTTAATGAAACACTCACAGGTTTCATGTGTAAAACTGCAGGTTGTTCATTTTTATTTAATTTATTGCAGCAAAATTATTTTTATTGACATTCTGAATCTCCCAGGTATATTTAATTAGTTTTTAAATAATTTATTACACACATTAAAATAAGGCGCAACATATTATTCAGTGATGGGCAGCACTAACTAAAATATTATATTAAAATAATGAATGAAAAACAAATTGTATCAGAAATTGCATTTTAAAAACGGTATAAAAAAATTGATTTAGCCACCAACCCTCTAAAAATAGGATTTAAAAAATTATTAAAACGATTTAATAAGAAAAATAAAATAACAAAATTTAATAAAAAGACAAAAATAAAATGTTTAAAGTTTTTATTTTTTATTTTA